GATTTCTCTGTAGCTTTGGTGCCTGTCCTGGAATTAGCTCTTGTAGACCAGGTTGGCGTCGAACTTACAAAGATTCGCCTGCCTCTGCCTCCCGAGTGCTGGGATTAAAGGTGTGCGCCACCACCGCCTGGCTGCCTATGTGAACTCTTACACACAACTTCCACAAAGGGCCTGTGAATGTTTCCAGGGAATTTCTACTGGCTACAATTCTATACTGAGGGTGCATCTGTGTAGCACTGGAACTGGAGAGATGGCTCAGCAGTTAAGAGCACTGGCTGCTCCTTCCAGAGGATCCAGGTTCAAATCACAGCACCCACGTGGTGGCTCACAACTGTCCTTCACTCCAGTTCCAGCGGACCTGATGCCCTCTTCTGACCTCATGCACTAGGTGTACACATGTACAAAGATACACATGCAGGCAAAGCACTCATACACGTAAAATAAACAATGACTCTAAAGAAAAATTTTATGTAGAGAAGCCTTATCTAGTTCCCTTCCTGGCTGTCAGTTCTCCTTGATCCCTAGGTGTTGGATTAAGAGGCTAAAAAACAAAGACCCCAATTTAATGCACAGAAAGGTCCCACTCTCCCTACTAATTCACTCTCTCCCTCCTTCCCTCTCTCTTTTTGGGGGAGTTTTTTTGAGACAGGGTTTCTCTGTGTAGTCTTGGCCCTCCTGGAACTCACTCTGTAGACCAGGCTGGCCTTGAACTCACAGAGATCCGCCTGTCTCTGCCTCCCAAGTGCTGGGATTAAAGGTACGCCCGCCACCACCAGAGCTATTTCACTCTCTTAAACACAAACCCCAAGTTTTCAGCACTTACACAACAAAAGGCTGATGTCAGTGTTCTACCACTGAGCCACAGCCCTAGTGTGTAAGGGAATTTATCAGCACTGTAGGCTCATCAACAGGGCTGGGGTCCGAGCTCATACACAGCTGTAATAAAGTTCAAGGCTACAGTGAGGGCTGAGGAGCACCCCACTTTGTCCTCACAACAACCTATGATGTGGGTGTGACGGTAACCCACTGAGGCCCAGACTTGACCCGGCACATGCGTCCCGGCTTTATTCCATGTTGCTCATTTCCTTTAGGTCTTTGTCTCCACTTCCTACTCATGCGCATCCTAAGGCAGGGGATCTAGAATGTTGTTAGCTGGGCCTGGAGAGTTCAGGGAGCATCTGTTGGATGAGTGAAGAATCCCACTAACAGAGGCAAGGCTAGCAGTTAAATCTGAGGTGGATTCGCATATTCCTTCGTTATTGTTTTTCCTTTTGTGACGGGTTCTCTAACCCAGGCTGACTTCTCTATGCAGCTGATAGCTCCTCCTTCACCTCCTGAATGCTGGGATTGCAAAAGCTCATACCACTGGGTTATGTATTGCTGGGGTTCAGACCCAGGGCTTCCTGCATGGTTGGCAGAAACTCTACCAACTGATCCCACCCGAGTCTCACACTCTTCCAACTGAGCTCACCCCCAGTCTCACCCTCTAACAACTGAGCCCACCCAAGTCTTAGACTCTTTCCCTGTTTCTGAGGCAGGGTGTAGGCAGACTTTTCTGTCCCCCTGCTTCTACATCTCAAGTGTTGGGATTAAAGGTGCCAACATCCTACCTGGTTTTCACATTCATTACTGTTACTGGCACATAGAACTGGTGAGGATGAAGCATGAAGCCATACACATACCCTTGGTGTTGGAATTGTGTTTCTAGACCTTAACTGTTCTCCAAGTCCACAAGGAAACAATTAGAGGTGAAAACTAGTTTCACTGACAAAGGTGTCAATTTCAGTCCCCGAAATCTGAAATTAACATGTGGGTAAAATGTGCCTTGTTTGAAAATCACGGCTTAAAAAAAAAAATGTGCCTTGTTTGGAAGCCATGCCCATGGATCTGTTCTGGGGAAGCTGAAGTCACCTAAAGTCTTCATCACTTACCCAACAAGTTTACCCTATGGTCCTTCCTAGGACAAGAGGCAAGAGAGCTCCAGGAAGATGGGCCCAACCACAATCACTCAACTAGTGTTGCTTAGGCAAGATGGTGAGGCCATGACCCCATCCAGATGGGACCCAAGAAGCTTGAAGAGGAGCATCCCCCTGGGGTGCCCAGGCCCTGCAGGTGCCCTTGGAAGCAAGCCCAGTGTCTGCAGAAGCAACCTCGAGGCCACACTGGCAGCTCCTTGGGGCAAGTGGCCCTAGTAACTGCCATAGAGATTTCCAGGAGCACAATACAGACAGAACCCAGAGCTACTGCTTCCGAGCCCTGGTGTCCCTGGCAACAGAGTTTGCAATAATGCCACACCAATGCTCAGCAGTTTTTAGAGTTCCCTCCAGGTACTTCCCCAGGGCAGAGAGTTCGTGTTCTCAAAAAGACTGAAAAACAGCTGAGTGTACTGGCCCAGAAAGATAAACCAAGCACAGTGTTCAAGGAGACAAGAGTTTAGGGACCAAAGTGGCAGGTAGCCAGCACAATGTCTCCCACACAAGCTCATAAAAGCAAAGAACTAAGCAAGGCCACAAGCCTTAACAGTGCTCTTGCTGGGTGCAAAGTAAGTCGCTCAGTTGTAAACTGGCTAATGGCGTGCATTCCTACTGTGAACGTGTGATTCCTGTGATTTCAAAATGGTGGTAAAGAAAAGCCAGCCACTCCACTCCTGCAACCCACACTCCAAACTGAATCCAGTCTGAGCACTTATGAGGACCTGAGATTTTGCCGTGGCTTCAGGTGAACATGAGGAACGAAGCTATTGATCAGGTGCCTCCTCTTGTGGTCATTTCAATTCTTTTTGATGTTGCGATTCTTCAAGTTTAAGGCCAGCCTGGGGCGTTTGGTAAGACCCTATCTCAAAAGTAGAGGGGACTGAAGAGTGGAAGGTGTGTAGCTAGGTAGTAGGGTTTGCATGGCTTGTGCGAATACAAAGTGGGGTGGGAGTGGCTGAAGCAAGAAGATGAAGAATTCCAGACCAGCCTGGGCTACAAAATGAGATCCTGTCTCAAAATAACCCATCAGAACTGCCCTGAATGCCTTCCCATTTTACAGAAGAGGGCAGCCAAGTGCAAAACACTTGTTGCAAAAACAAAAGGATACTTCACAACCAGTTTCTTTTTATGTGATTCCAAAAAACTAAGACAACACTCCAAAGTCCTGATTGGGTAAGAACGGCCACAGTGCAGTCCTGACACAGCTTTTCCTTCTAAAACCCTGGCCCAGGTCTGTGGGAGACGGGTAAGGGAGAATGGGAGGTATCTTTGAGAGGAGCTGGGACCCCTGGGCCTTCTGGGTAAACACAGGACCAGGCAGGCCGGGAGCCGACTCCACAACACCCACCGCGGCTGCACCGCTGGCGGATAGAGGCCTGCGACTGTCCCGGGCCGGGAAGGTACACGGTGCGGCCATATAGGCAGGGGAAAGCATGTGCAAAGATCGCTGGGAGGGTAAACTGAGGCCGCGTCGCCCGCTCGGTCCCGTCCAGGGGCTTGCAGAGGCGACAGCGAGTCTCACCTGGTTGCAGAAGACCTCAGGCTGCTGGTTGGGGGCCGGCACGGCGCTGGTGGCGGCGGCGGACAACAGGCGGCTCAGGCGCGGCCCGCGGCGGGCGGTGGTCAGTACGGCGCGCAACATGCTGTACTAAGCAGAGCTGAAATGAGTGGAGTTGAACTGAGCTGTGCTGAGCCGAACCGAGAGGAGCCTAGGAGAGGAGCCTGGGAGAGTGCAGCCCTGTAGACCGACTTCCTCGCCTCGCCCCCGGCAACCGCCAATAGGCGGTGGCAACACGAGGGCGGGGCGGGAGAGCCTCAGCACCCCCAATGACCTGCGGGGTGCAACCCAGGCTCTGCAAGCCAAGTCAGAGATGGAGTCGTGCAGAACTCGGGAGCGGCCTGAGAAAGCTCTGCCAGCTCCTAAAGTCGTCCCCGGATTTCACGAATGCGGATATTCTGTGGACAACTTGGGACTGGGCACTGGGGGTGCAGGATGGCGCTGGCCAGAATGGGACGCGGACGCTTGGCCACTCGTGTGATCTTCAGCCAGATGAAGGCAGCAGTAGGCTAAGAAGAGGATGAGGGCTGTGCAATGAGAAGTGTTTTGAAACAGGAGCCCAAGAAATGGGCGGAGCCCTCGGAAGCTGAGGCCCCGAACATTTCTGGAGCACCAGGCAGGAGACTGCAGCACGTGAGCTTCGCTCTACTCTGATGACTCGCAGTATATTGTCACTGGCGCTGTAAGAGAGAAATCCCAGTAGCTAGACAAGGGGTCGGGGCGCGTTTCTTTGTGTGCCTCTGATTTTAGCATTGTTAATGTTTAGGACAGCCAATATTTTTCTGGGGCTCAGCACGATTAGCGCAAAACAGGAGCGAAAAATATTTAAGGACCATACAGGCTGGGTCGGTCACATGACCAACCTTCGGTGCAAAGGAATCTGGGAAACTGAGAGCACGGTTAGGAGAAATTGTAAAGGAGCTACTTAGCAGAAATTGAGATTCCTCGGGCGTAGGGTGGTGGGCACTTAGAGAAAGCAAAGAAGTGCTCAAATTTCATGTCCCCCTGCAAACTGCGCAGTTCTGTATTAGCCAATCAGGTCAGAATGTGAGGCCGGTTCTGACCAATCAGAGGGAGACACAGAACCCCTTTGTTTTTCGGAATAAATGCTCATCAGGAAACTGGGTCCTGGCCTTTAATTCCAGCCCTTGGAGGCCTAAGCAAGCAGAACTCTGAGAGAACCAGCCTGGTGGTCTAGATAACAATTCCAGCCAGCCATGATTACTGAGTGAGACCCTCAAAAAACCAGCAGGGCCTCTCAGGATGTGGTCGCTTGTTCAGCATGGGCTAGGCAACCTGCTCTGCAGAAGTAAACAATTTTGCTTTGCAAAAAATGTTTTGGATTGTGTGGGAGATCTTGAGTATCCAGACCCCATTTCCTACAGGAAGGTGTCCCCATTCACTGTTTTCAAAATGACTCTAGCCTCGTGATGGTGGCTCAGGCCTTTACTCAGGAGGCAGAGGCAGGTGGATCTCTGTGAGTTCCAGGCCAGTCTGGCCTACAGATTGAGCTTCAGGACAGCCAGAGGTGCACAGAGAAACCTTGTCTTGGGGGGGGGGGGCTACTCTGTGTTCCATTGACTACATCTACACTTCCATTTAAAGAATGTTCTGTAACATTTAGGTGACTTCCAATCTTGTGAGATTACAAACAATGCCACACTTTGTATCTTTGACTTACTGAGAAATTCACAGAGGTAGAGCCACTAAACACAGGATATTTTTGAATTAAATACAAATATTTCTCTATATAAGCTCCTTGTCTTATGGGGGTGTGGCAAATAACCCTCTCTTAAGTTGGAAGTATCATAAATACATTGAAAGTTTACTTTCTTGTGGTGGATACCCCATAATCTCAGTATTGAGGAAGTGGGGTCAGGAGGTCAAGGTCAACCTGGGCTACACAAAGAGTTCCAGATTACCCTGGGCTACAGAGATGCTATCTCAAACAAACAAACAAATGAGTACAAAACACCTAGCCTGCAACACATCACAGCTTAGCTATTAGACTGTGCTATGTAGTGTCTATGTTCAACCCTCATGACTTTGGGTTGATTGGGAGCCCAGTTTGCTGAGCATCTTGAAGGAGGACCCTATAGTTAGCCAGCGAAAAGATTCATGTTCAAAAAGTCTATAGCCTGGGCAGACTTTGATCCCAACACCCAAGAGCAGAGGCAAGGCAGGTGGATCTCTGGTGGCCCAGGTGCCACCACACCCTTACACTCTTCCACTACTGTTTATTACCAGACACTGTGAGTATATGTTCTGATAGCCAGCCTCTGTCGCTTTAATATGCATGTTTTTTGGTTTTTCTGCCTTTCAAGTGCTGGGATTAATGACCTGCTCCACCACACCTGGTTTAATATGCATTTCTAAGGAGATTGATCGTCTTTGTTTGCAGCCATGCATGAGTGTGTGTGTGTGTGTGTGTGTGTTCACACACACTTGTGAAGGCAGTAAACACTGCCCATCAGAGGGGTGTCTTTTCTATCACTTATCATTTCTTACTGCCAAATGTCCTTAAGTAGACCTCCTGTTTATCTGTTTACGTACCAATGTAACATTTTTGTTGATTGCCAGTAGTTTAACCTTTTTGTTTGCTTCCTTGTTTATTTATTTTGAGATAGGGTTCTCCTGCCCCTTCTCTGGAGAGCTGAAATTATAATTATGACTACCACACTGGTTTATGTACTAAGGGTAAAACTCAGGACTTTCATAGATGCTAGGGAAGCACTCTATCCTCTGAGCCACACCCCCAACCCTATTTTTTTTTTTTTACATGGACAAAGTGGCTTTATTAGAGAAATCCGGGATTATATAGGACTTTGGAATAAGCATTTAGCCTTTCTCTTTGCCAAAGGAGGGCACATCATTGCCTTAGCTTGGTTACACTGCACCCAATTGGCTTGGAGCCTCTTTTGCCTGTTTAGTCACTTCTGCCTCTCCAAGCTTGTGCCAGGGAACCATGGACTTACTTTTAGAATGTGATCAGTTACTTCCAGCATGGTCAGGGCCTCTACCCTGTACACTGCATGTCAGGCAGAAGAAAATCGATGTTCTGGGGCAATGTCCTCCAGTGAGACCACATGGTCTTTGATCCGGGTAAAGGGCTCCTGGCCAGGAACCTTGAAGGCATGTAGTTCGTGGGCATGGACAAACAGCTGCAGGCTGGTGACTGATGGGACACAGGTGCCACCACTGCGCAGAACTCCCTCCTTTAACTCCCACTGTTTAACACAGCACGGAGAGGCAGGGCTGTGGTTTAAAGGCTAGACTGGGCTATAGAGAGATTCTGTTTCAAAAAGGCAAACTCTGGAACCAAACAAAACAGAAAGGCTCTCATTCTGGGATAAGGGATGTAACTCAGAAGTAGAGCACTTACTTAGCATGCTGGATACCCTACAAATCGTCAAAATTTAGCAGAAGGGCTATGGATGGTGGAATGCACCTTTAACCCCATGCTGGGGAAGCAGAGGCAGGTGATTGACAGGTTTCTTTTTCATTCTTTCTTTTTTGAGACAGGGTTTCTCTGTGCAGCTCTGGTTGTCCTGGAACTCACTCTGTAGATCAGGCTGGCCTTGAACTCAGATGAGCTTCAGCTGGAATTTCATCCTCCAGGAACTATCACCGCATCAGCCTGCCTTTGCAGATTCCATACAATCTCCATTTCAGCACCATGACGGGTAGTTTTTAACTGTCAACTTGACAGAACCTAGAATCACCAGCGAAGAAGTCTATTTTGTTTTGTTTTTCAAGACAGGGTTTCCCAGTAGCTATTTATGGAGTCAGTCACGGAACTTGCCCTGTAGACCAGGCTGGGGGAAGACAGTTTTTCTTTCTTTTTTTTTTTTTTAAAAAATATTTATTTATTATGTATACAGCATTCCTTCTATGGCCAGAAGAGGACACCAGACCTCATTACAGATGGTTGTGAGCCACCATATGGTTGCTGGGAATTGAACTCAGGACCTTTGGAAGAGCAGGCAATGCTCTTAGCCTCTGAGCCATCACTCCAGCCCCTGGGAAGACAGTCTTAATGGAGGAATTGTTTAGATCAGGTTGGCCTGTAGACAGGTTTGTGGAAGACTGTCTTGACTATGAATTGATGTGGAAAAGCTTAGCCTACTGTGGGTGGCACCAGTCCCTATTAGAGGGTCCTGACGAAGAGAAAGCTAGCCAGCAGGCTACATTCATTTTCCTCTCTCTGCTCTTGACTGTGGACATGATGTGGTTTAGCTGCCTCAAGCTCCTGCCACGGTGACATTTCTGTTAATGAAGGACTCTAACCTGGAATTGTAACCTGAATTAAGCCCTTTCTTCCCTGAGGTTTTTTTTATGGGGAGGGGAGAGGGTGTTTATCACAGCAATAAAAATGAAACAAGGTTTTGTGTGGCTCAGTCATCTAATGTTGACAATTCTAATGTAACATTAGATAATGTCTGATGTATTACAATGTAACATTCATACTATATTTCTTTTTTAAAGATTTATTTACTTATTTTATGTATATGAGTGCTCTATCTGCATGTACACCTGCATGACAGATCAGGATCTAACTATATAGATGGTTGTGAGCCACCATGTGGTCACTGGAAACTGAACTCAGGACCTCTGGAAGAGCAGCTGATGCTCTTAACCTCTAAACCATCTCTCCAGCAACCCATACTATATTTCTATCTGACTGTACTGGTGTTCTCTTTTCCCCTCTTCATTTCCTGATGCTGTATATCAAACCCAGGACCTATGTTAGTGCCACATCTCCAGCCCCTGGCATTGGGAGAATTGTCTCACTATATAGCCCAAACTGGCCTTGAACTTGCTAGGCTCCTCCAGAGGCCCCTGCCTCCCAGGTGCTGGAACAGTGAATGTGTGCTCCACACCAGATCTTCCTTTGAAAGACCTGGATAAATCCAGACCCCTCTAGCAGAAAAAAATAGAGCCAAAAATTTAAGCAGGAAGAGAAGAGGCAGAAATCTAGGTTAGCCAGTTCAGTGACTCTGTTTTAGGAACTAGCTGAAGATAAAGTTAGATTATAATCTTGAGAATAATCTTGAGAAACAGGGAGTTACCCCCTTTGATGAACACTGGTATTTTCGGAATTTTCCAATGACGCCCTCCTTACCCTCTTTGGATTACTGGGTAGTGGTTTTTTCCTTAAATACCCCTTCTCCCAGCTACTGGGGTCGAACTCTCTACCCCTGCGTGGGAAATGAGTTTCGGCCCCAGTGCACTGGTTCCTGTCTTGTCAATAAACCTTGGGTGATTGCAGCAAGGATGGTCTCTCTCGTGAGTTCCTGGGGGGGTTGTGTTATCCCGAGACTTGAGTGAGAGTCTCCCGGCTCCAGATGTCTTTCACCTTGAGTCTTTCCCTTTGCTTTCATTCTTCAGTCTTTAATCTGATTTTAAAAACAAAACAAACAT